AAAAATCAAAGTCCCTGCTCCCTAGACAAACTGGAATACTTTCAACTGATGTAGTATTCATTTTGCTTAGAGCAGAATTTACATGTATTTTAATCTTCGGATAAAGCCTATACTTAAAACACAACACTCATCTCCCTCTCCCCAGTTTTTAATGGCTCTCAACAAAAGTGCCTTAAACATGGGTATATATTTTTGCCTAAAAAAGGAGATAAATCTCAATTCCAACATAAGATTAGAGGAGAAGCACCCATCACTCAAAAAAAAAAAAAAAAAAAAAAAAAAAAGAAAAAGAAAAAAGAAAAAAGACAGCACAGCTTCATTATAAAAGAGAAAACCATAAGGGAATTTTCAATTTCATAGTTCTAATGAGAGGGGTTGAAAAGAAGTGGAGAGAAGGAAAAAAAATAATCTTTGGGACAAGACATAAGGAAGAAGAACACAAAACTGAACCAGGAACAGACTTTCAAGTTTCACCTCAGGTTTTCACAGAAAGGACTACTGTAGTCTCAGCTCTGTTCCCAAAGGAGAATAAGCCACACGACAACATCACCACACACAAAACTCAGCATATTTCATGAGCAGGAGGCTCAAGAAGAGAACAGGTCAAGGTTGGTATCACTAGCACAGCAGCAAGAGGGAGCTTGCACTGCAGTTGTCTGAACCACACCTAGTCTGCAGTTAAATATAGAACTTTACTTTCTGGAACTATTGCTACTCTTAACCTTCAGAACATAAATAGTCAGAGAGATATTTAAAAAAAATAAAAATAAAAAAAACCAAACACCCAAAAAACAACATAAGAGAAAGAGAGAAAGGGACCTGAATCTATTGTCTGAAATCTAAGCCTAGCAACTAATAAACTACCCTGGGAGAATCTCCAAAAAAGCAGTAAAGACTGGAAAATTGAATTACAGAAACCACAAGCAGCATTCTGAAAATCCAGTATAAACCAATTAGCTTCTTTAATACACATACCCCATATAGACACACTTATGTACATTAACCACTTAAGTGTATGTGCTGGCCTTAAATATAATCTTAATTTTATCAGGTTGGCCCCAATATAATGAGTATTACATTGGTGTTTTTGTTCTCCTTTTTTTAAAAAAAAACAACAAACAACCAAAACTAGCCCTTTGTCCTGCTTTAAGCTAGAAGGAAGCCAATTTTATTTTTACTGATTTATTTTTTTTTCATTTAGAGAAGTCTTTTTTAACTAGCAGCAAGTTTTCCAGGTACTGAACTGATAACTCTGAAATGTTTATGTTACTGCTGAGAAGCCAAGGTCACTGCCCTACTTGTTGAATCTGGGGCCTCAGCTGCTAAGGGAGCAGAAGAATCATATCTGATGCCCTCACACAGGGAGGAGTGGACTAGACAGACAGCACAATTGACCAAAGTATTCCATCCCATGTATCTACATAAGGTTGGTATAAGATCAGGGATCACAGAAGTCAAGCCCCTTCCTGCTGCTTCTTCCCTTCTCTTCCATCCATGTTCAGCATCTGGGGAAGACTCCGTTTCTCCATCACCACTGATCCCTGGGCTCATGCATTCCTGACCCTCATAACTCTCCCCTCAGCTCCTGTTTGCTCTGCCCCACTCTCTGGCAGGGTCTGGGACATTTCAGAACTGCTCACAGCTCAGGAGATGCTGTGGCAGTTGGTGAGGGTGGGGGGAGTTAATAGGGTTTTGCACATTGTTGTACATATTTGTATATCATTGTATATCTTTTCTTTTATCATCAGTATCTAATTAAAGCTGCCAAATTGAGTTTTCAATCCAGAAAGTCTCTCTCCTTCATTCTCTGTCTCCTTCCCTACCTGGGTGGGAGGGGAAGGGGATCTTGAACATTGTTGTCCCTGGTTTAACTGCCAATCCCATCAAGCTGTGGCACTCTTAAACCCTCACCATTCTCATTCAGCTAATGGGCAAATCCTGACTGGTGCTGAGTATTTTCAGTTGGAGAGCCTGCTCCTCAAATCAAATCTCTTTAATTTCTGCAATAAAATTTAGATTCTTTCCTTGAAGTGCTCTTAGCTGGTTTGACACATCGACTTTTAGAGGCTGCATTTTCTTACCAACTGAATCCAAGTCAAAATTACGTACCACCGTTATAGCAGCACAAGACTTTGATCCTCACCCCAAAAGTGTTTATACAGCTTTGCAGTAATGTTTCACAAGTTTATAGGAAGAAGTAGCTCTGCATCACCTACACAAGAGTTTCCATTAGGTCTAGATTGAACTCTCTTACCTTCAGGCATTTAACTAAATCACCAAAGTTGGGTTTAATTGCACATGACAGAAGCACTTCTGCAGCCAGAAAGTTGCATGTAGCCCTCATGAGTTGGATCAGTGGGAGGGAACTGTCTTCTGGATTTCTGTTTCTCATTGCTGAGTAACTACAAGTCTAGATGAACAAGCACTTTAATGAAGTTCCCAAATAAAAAGCTCAAAACCATGTGCCTAAATCCCTGTGTGCAGCAACAGCACATCAAGACGCTGCAGGACATACAAACAGAATGCAATTAAATTTGTATTTAATTGGGAAAATAGTCCATTAAACTGAGTAGAATACCTCCCCTCAGAGTTAAAACTTAATCCTTCAGAGGGAAATGCAAATTAGCAGATAAATGCCACCAAATCACATGCAATACCAAACACCATTTCAGTGGACCAAATGCTTATTCCTGACCCTATGGCATCAAGTGAACCTGATCTGCCCAGGCCAGACAGCCAGGAGTCTGGTTACCTTCATCCTGGCTGGTGTTATGAGTCATGTTACAGACAAGCCTGGAAGACTCCAGTGACTTTTAAGTGAAATTATTTAGCTTCTTCCTAGATCTCCCAAGAGAGTGTTTACCTGTCTCTCTTTCAAAACTTGTTACTTAAACCAGCTCATCCTCACAGCTCAACTAGGCCTATTAAAGTGTAACAGTTAAACAACCATATTCCCAATATGCTTGATGGTGTAGTTTGATTGTCATGCAAATATTTTACCACAGCTTTAATTGTGTTCTTGCCTCAAATGAAATTCCTCAGCCACACTTTCCAGTACCCACACACAAGGCTGCAAACTTCAGTGCTTGTGGTGACCCAAAGAGAAAATTCCAGCAGCAAAGACTCTCCAGAGCACAAGAAAAGACAGCAAACAAGACAAAGAATGAAAAAGAACAGGGTAATGAAAAACTAGATCAAGTGATTATGCATCTGCATACACAACTGGATTATTTCCAATGTCAACATTGACCTGTTTCTTTCCATACACTAAACCAAATCTCATTTTTCTAAGACACACACATGAAACCATTACAGGTTGTCTGACTTTTAGTGTCACAGCAGAGACTGGTTGTAGGAGAGATCTGAAGGAGGACAGGGTAGTGCCTGCTTGTGTAGCCTTCTTTTTCTGCTGTGTTTCCACAGCACCTAACACGAAGGAGTCTAAGGCACTAGACTGGTGGTTCATGGTTCAAACAGCAAATAAGAGCAGTTACCAAACTTTCGGCCAGACAGGAACCAAGAAGGAAAACACCCATGCCCAAAGAGCCATAATCCTACTTCAGAGCAACTAAATATTTGACACACTGAGGATTAATAAGGAGATGGAGCTGTAGCATTTTTGTCATTCTACATACTGCAATCAGGACAGCCATCCAAGCACTCTAAAGTGCTCAAGATCCTATACTGCCCATTGTATTGTCCACCTAGAGGGGGCCACTAGGAAAACAAGAGTCTCCTGTATGAACCGACTCTGCATTATTTTGGTCTAGCAAAGCAGAACAGATTTCAAACATTTACATTATTTCATTTGACATTGAGCCAAACCTGAAAACTTGAATGCAGTGCCAGGACAAGAGATGGAAATGAATGCTTAGTTATTGCTGGTCGCAGCCCTGCAAAGACCTTGTGATGGCCTGTGGCCACATAGAAGTATGTCTGTCCATCTTGAGTGTAAAAAGGCTTAGGTCTAAGACGGAGTTGGGTATTTTGGTCTTAGCTGAGGCAAAAGGAGACACTCTACTGCTCCTAATCAGTTTCAAAGACCCTCATTCAAGCCAAAGGAAAGAACAGCTTTACAGAAAGGGCAAAAGCATACCCTAAAAATCTGCTGGCAAAGGAATCAAGGGAGTTGCAAAACTGAGGAGTGTAGCACACAACAGAGTAATCTGGTGCTTTCATGGAAAGGAGGTTCCTCATGCTCTCAGGGGGAAGAAAACTCCTCCCTGCCATTTAGCCCTGAACAGAAATAAGCATTCATCCCTAAACTATGTTTGAGTTCACTAGCCCTTTTCTATTACACAATATTATCCACAAAAGAGACATTACTGTAAGCAGAGGAAAAGGCAAAGCACACAGGCAGACAGGAGACCAGGCTCAGAGAGTGCTCCATCTCTGCAGGACTGAAGAGCTGGGAGCTATAATGATCACCTGCCACTCTGCATATGTATTTGAAAGATCCACTTTGCTATGTACTGTTCCCAGCTCATGTAAAAGGGTTGTAAGAGCCTTTTTGGACAAGGAATCTATTGCTTGTTAGGCAAAGTTCTGCATCCTGAACAACTATAGTGCTGCCGAAATGCCAGTATCAATTATGAAATAGCATAAAACAAATGAGTAAATAAATAAGTCAATTGGGAAAAGAGAAATGTAAAATGTAAAGAGTGTGTAGAACCCCACCAAGACAGAGTTTGGATTAGGCTACATGGAAAGGTTTCTACAAAAGCGAAGAAAGATTTAAATGTCAATACTCTCAGACTAAGCTAAGGACAAGAAGTCTTGGAGGCTACAAAAAATGAGATATTGTCCAGAGGAGCATAACAAAACAACAAAAAGGGTGAAATACATACTCTCTGTTATTGAGAATCAAATTATTTTACTGCTGTTAACTTGCATGATGCTAAAGCACACCCATGAAAACGACGCTGGTGTTTGCCAGAGCAGGAAAAGGATACATGTAGTGGCTTTAAAATGCCCATCTCCATAACCCAGAAGTGACATACCTTTCCATAACAGCCAGGCACTCCTTTCTCCACGTGAACCGACTGCCTCGCCGTAGTCTGAAGGTCCCAGAGGTAGCTGTGACTGGGGGAGGCGTCTGTCTCCATTCTGGCTCTTCTATGGGGATAGGAGCGGGTCGCATGCTTAATGTAGCCCCTAAGAATAATAAATACTGTGTTTCCTATTGGATTAAAAATCATGCCCATTTTCTCCCTCCTGCTCATGAAAAAAAAGACAGATGATGAAACTGTTCAAGCTAAAAAAGTTAAGCATTATAAAAAAAGACACTTTAAAGATACACAAAGTCAGCTAGAGTTCCCATCCCCAACCTCCAAGCCAGAGAAGTATCACGTGACAATGGAAATCTAAGGGAGGCATAGCTGAGCCGACAGCCTCTTAGGAAAAGCTGTCCTGTCTTCATCAAGAGGAAAAGTGTCTCACAGGAAGGGTGAGCTATGTCTAGCTGGGATTTATTTTGGTTGCACGGCTACCTCTTCTGCCACAAAATGGGAAATGGCAGGTTTCTATTTAATTGTACAACAGTCTCAGGAAGCAAAATGTAAATTTATACCAAAGGTATTTCAATGTGTCCAAAGAGCTGACTAAACTTGAAATAGCTCCACCTATATAAACACACCCTGTGACCTGTGCAAACATAGGCTCCTGAATGTCAGGTTGTCTGAAAAAGTCACTGAAAGCAGATTAACACTGCACCTTTCCTCTCTGTCCCCCTTTCTATGGACATATTTCCCCTTTCAAGAAGCCTTTGCTGGAAAGCATCAAGCAAGAGACAGGACCTGGCACCATGCCTTGAGGAAAGGCCCTTTGAAACTTACCCCTGATTCTTTCCACAACAGCCTCTCAGTTAATAAAACAAGATAAATCAAAACACACTGGGAGACTGATCTTTCATATATCCCTTGGTGAGTTTGGGAACCTGGTATAGGACATTAGTACATAAAACAGGGTATGTTACGAAGGACAGCTTTGTGCTCAGTGACTTCCCCTGGAGGGAAGAAACAGCTGTTCTTATGTGCAAAGAATAAACAAATGAAAGAAAAAGTCATATGGAAAGGTAAGTCACCACCTATGCACACCAAGCTCAACTGGATTCATGCACTCAATCAGCCTGGGTAGATACAAGAGAAGCAGGCAGCTCTGCTTATAAGAGGAATACAGCATTGTGTACACATTAAAGCAAGGCTGAGAGAGTAAATCCCTCTTTGTACAAAGACTTGCTCAGAATGCTTAGGATTTGATCATAAAAACATAAGGTGTTAGTTAAACAATACTGCTTATTTAACTTAAAACAGAGTAAAAGGGTTAAGGGAATGCAAGAGTTTAAACAATTAACAAATTCCTACAGCTAAAAAGCAAGAAATTAGTTATTTATGCATTTTGTTGTGTCCCTTTCCAGAAACACACAAGTATTTTCCTTCCTGTCAGAGGCTTGCATCTGTGTTGGGTATTGAAGTCCAAAATAATTTAAAAACTTTACCTGGGAAAAGTCTACAGCAAGTGAAGCCCACAATCTCTGCCTTACGCACACAATCAACAGCAACTCTTACTATTATCCAGCTAACAAGCTTACATGGATAATTTAGTTTTACTGACGCATAAAATATTTATTGTATTGCCAATTTATTGGGAGGCCACTTCCAGGGAAGTTTCTTATCTACTCTTTCTAGTATATGCACATTTTAGGGGTCTGGGTCAGTATCAAGCTGCTAGGCTTTAAACATACTTCAAAAACTAAACAAGTTTTTTTTAAAAAAATATTAAAAAGAGGCAGAGAGAGAACAGGACAAGGAATTATCTTTTCCTGCACTGCCTTAGCATTATACTTCCCCTTCCTGATTATTTCATTTCACAGGGAGAGTATACAAAGATCAGTGATGCCTAACATTAAGAGATGCAGCGTGCTTCCATTTAATTTCCTTGAGATTTTTCAAAGTTTGAAAAAAAAATAAATAAATCTGCATTTAAAGCATAAACTTGCTCCTACTACTGATACATTCATTTACTGAATTTAAGATGCTTTTTTTTATTTAGTAGCCTTGCTAGATCCATTTACCTAGTACTTTCTTCTATCAGGTATGATCATTATCAGCACCAGGTAAGAGAGAATTATGCTGAAAATTACAAGTACCCACCATTGGTTTTGCAAACACATAAAATGGAAGCATCTGAATGTACAGAGGCCCAAAATGTGTTTAGATGTATGAATGGCAAAAGTGGTGGATGTATGCACTACTGCCACACTTGATAAGGCAATTATGGAGCTTTTCTTCATCCCTTTCAATTAAGTGAGCACTTGGGGATTTTATTTGTTCTGCTATTCCAATGCCTCACTGCAATCTTCTCACCAGCCATCTTCAGTTCTCTGTAACTTAGTAAGTTACATCCTAGTTACCGGGTCAGATTCTTTCTACAACCCCCTCAAACAGCTTTTAAGAAATGTAACTTCTCCCTTGAGCAAAATGAGCAGAGCAAATGGAGTACGAGATTTATATCTTAGTATATGAATCAAAAAGCAAGACATCTATAAGGGATATAGAGGTGAACCATCTGGGAAGAAGAACTCGTTCGCACAGAAAAATGAAAAGTGACATTTCTCACCACCTGCCAGTGCTGAGTAACTTTTGCAGCAACACAGAATTTTCTTTGTGCAAGCCGGTATTTTCTCAAATGTGCGGTAGGACTTTGGGGATGCTGCAGGTGGGTTTTGGGGAGAGGAGGCAAGAGCGATGCTTTCCAGCTGGTCTGCAGCTACCTATGGGCTCAAAATTTCTCATGGGAAAGGCTTGCCTTCTCTCAGCACATCCCAGACAATATACTGAAGAAAAAGCACTGCTCTTAAAAGCGTCACATGCAATTGCGATCCACATCACATGTCTCAGGCCGTACAGAGGTGATGTGCAGAATGGTTGGAGAAGCCGCAGGCCATCTCCCAATTCCAATAAACCATTTCCTGGCAAGCCTCTGCAGCAAGTACCTATCAGGAATTACACTGATAGGAACAGATGTCACATTTTATTTTTAGCCAGACTGACCTGAGATCACATGATAAACACCTTTCAGTTACTACTGAGACAGGCTAGATTTGAATCAGCTGCCTGAACAGCAAAAGGTTCCCCACAGAGCTCATTGCTTGGATGCAAAGCATCAGTGCAGGGACTATTTTCTCTGCAGCTCTGTAAAACAGTAAATCACCAACAATACATTTCCAGTGCAAAACTCGTGGGATATCCAGCCCCTGATTTTTAACCATTTTTTGGTAAGCTTTTATAGTTAAACAAGAACCACCATGGGAATAACACAAGAGATGCTACATCTAGATAAAAGCTACCTTTCTTTTTACCTTTTGTTCAAGAAGGAAAAGCACATGTTTTTCTCCAAGGTGACCACAGCTGCCTTCCTATACAGAAGACTGGAAGCAGTCTGTACCCATCTGTAACTTCAACACATCATTTCTAGGTGCCAGCTCCAGTTTGCAGTACACAGAGGCAAAACACATGCTAAAGTTACTCTACAACAAACTTTCCATATTGGCCAAGGTCCAGTGCCAGGCAAACTAATCAGGCTAACAGCTACCAATGTAAAAGTTAATACTTATTTATTCAAAACCCATGAGTTCTGAAAAAAAATATATAAATAAATAAATCTGTACATTATAGGACTATGCACTCATATACTGGCTTCTGAAACATATACTATTTATCTACTGCCAAAATGTTCTCAGTCCTCTACAAAACACAGGAGATGTGGTGCCTATCCAAAAAAAAAGCCTGATCTAAATGAAAAAAAACCCCTTAATAATTGGATTAAAAACCTTTCAAACACCAGCATTTGTACTGACTTCTTCCCTTCAAGAAAAAACTGACTTTCACCCTAATTGGCAGCTGTTTCCAGAAAAAAGTTTACAATCACAAGTAACATGGAATTTGAGGCATTGCTTTAACTCTAACATCATTCCTACCAGGAAAACGTTGATCAAGAAATATTTTGAGCAAGACTATAGCATACAGTAGGAAAACTGTGTGTAGAGGGGCTTGATCCATGAGACTTCAGTTTCTTTTGGAATGTTCCAGTTTGCTGTTGCCTGAACATCCTCCACCAAAGGCAGGAGAGATACAGAAAACTACAATGCAAATAAGCAATCAAAACCAAGGGAACAACAAACAGCATATTTAAGACACCAAAGCAAGCTGACAAATAACAAACATGATGGAATTGCTGAGTCTCCTCTGTATAGGAGCAACACCTAGCAATGTCTCAACAGCAGCAAAATCTCAAAACTGCCCTAAGGCTCCACAACACCAAGTTCTTTGGTTAGCAGATGCAGGAGGGTGATCTAAAGTGTTAAATAGCACCATACACACTTCAAAACATAAAAATAAAGTATATTTTCAGGTATTTATAAGTTAACTTTTGACCCCTACATTAGAAACTCCTGGCTGGGTGCAGTATATAAGCATAGTGAAAGAGTTCTTGCTGTGAGGACCTCACAGCCAAAGCTGGCAAGTTATACACAACAATATGGTCTCATCTTCAGGAGACAGGAAAGTGAGGTGCAAAGGTGAAATCATTTGCTAAGAGTCATACATAAAAACTGGCAGAGGCAAGGAAAGATCACAGGTCTGCCAAGCGATCCAGTCCTTTCCTCAATGAAACAACTAGTCTTTCTCTACAGTTCATAAATTGATTATATCGGGTGACCTAGTTCTCCAAAACTTTTTATTGAAGGAAAACCTTCAAAAAGGTTTTCCTCCTATTACTACATATAAAAATTTAGTTAGAAAATGGAACTTATTCTGAAGATCCAGTTTCCAAAATAAGGAATTCAAGAAATGGGGGAACTAGAAGTTTCCAAAGACCTCACTTTGTCCATTAGTAGCTCAAACATGTAGGTGGCTTCTGCACCAAGAGACCCTACTGTCACTCAGTGGAGAATGACTGAGATTCCCAACAGCTTAAAGATGGGATATATAATAATAGAAAGCAAAACATCACTTCCTAGTAAGTGAGCAAATAGAAAAAACACATTCCAGTCATTTAATCTCTTTAAGTTTCTTCAAAGGAAGACAATCTTGTACACTGTCCAGAAAGTGCATCACTTCTTTGTGAACATGGCAGGAAGCTCTACTGATTTCCTCATATTCTGACTCAAAATAAGGCAGAAAGAACAGCTACTCAAGCCTAATAGTCACAGCATCCAAAACTCAGGCTCCAAAATCCAGGATGCTTCAGACAATGTTGGTACCTTCCTTAATACACTGTATACACTTGCACATATGTATACTAATTATTTCTTGGCTAGCCAGTCTGACCTGCAGTATGGAAAAAAAGCAGTGGATTATCCTACATTAAATAACATAACCATTTGGGTAGACATTTCCAACAGCTATAGGGAAAGCTGACCATTCCTCCCTTCACCTTAGCCTCTAAAAAGATACGAAATGTTATGTGATTCTAAAGGGAACCGAAGTGCACCCAAATAATCCACTGGCATACACAGTGGAGCCAATTTGCCTTTTACACTTCTAAAAATGCTGTATAAGATCTATTACTTGAAAAAAGCTTACACTCAAACAATCACTCTTCCAAGAGATTTTCCTAGGTGTGTGTAAGGAAAAGTGAGCAAGACCTCAGCAATGCAGACTGTCAGAAAAGTAGAGATTAACATCTATTCACTTTAAGTCATAACCTTCAGTGTTACTAGTCTTCCACCCTTCAATACTTCAAGAGCAAAAGGACAAACAAGATGTGAGCTTGTGGATATGGGGAAAGAAAGAAGGTTAAGTAAAGATTTTAGTGCTAAGTTTGACAAGGCTTCTCTTATCCCAGCACAGAATACTATTTTTTAAACAGCTCCAAATTATACTGGAAAGACAAGATGCAAGGCTATAGGAAAGACTCCACTGAGTCCTCTCATTAGGAGAAGACTTCTGGGTTTTTTCCAAAAGATACTTTCCAAAAACACTCCACTTTTCTCCACTGCCTTGGAGGCGACACTTGCCATTAAAGGGAAATGGCCAAGAGTTACTTCGTAGGGTACGATTTTAGACTTCCAAAGCAGCAGATATTGAGCAGTTGAATCCAGTAACTTCACTGATCCTTAATATCACAATTGCAGCCACTGCAAAATCAAGGCTTCTTGGTGATCCCTGCAGCTTGCCAGCACCTCACAACCCTTGGCACTTTCATTATTTAAAGATATTTTCTAGATGCTTAACAGAAAGGACAGGCTCAGCTGTGGCTTTGAACCGACCCAACTTTAAGCTAAAGTATTCTCCGGCCAGCTGGCAGCTGGAGCCTCTTAATTTTCAACTTACACACAAAGCAGAAGTTTTGAGGATTTGTTTTCACTGGAATTTTTCTTAATAGACTTCTAGATATGGAAGCCAAATTCATATTAGAGAACCTGAGTCTTAAATTCCTTCAAACAATCACACAGTTAATTTAATCATGCCACTGTTTAAAGGAAATTAAATGTAAACATTTTTATCTTTACAATGAAATTGCTGAAGGGAAAAATGCAAACTGTGGTCAAACAACATCTATGGAGAAGTGCAATGCAAGGAAATTAATTCAACTGTGATTCTGAAGATTGCTCATAAGATAATGAGGAGCTTTACTTCTCTTTTGATCTTTAAGATCTATCTGAGACTTGGAGAAGCAGGTGGGATTCAAGAGATGTATCTCCAGCTTATCACTGCAACTATAAACATCCCATTCATAAACTTGAGATCCAACCCAAAAACTTCTGAAGTTATTCTAAAGTTCTCCTCTACCAAAATGCAAGGGGTTTTGCTGCAACTTGACATTATGCAGCCATGATTAATGGTTTCTATTTCTTCATTCTTAAAAGCCTCATCATCTATTTCATGTAAGTGGACTACAGCTTCACTGACTGCTTCTGATTCCCAGATTTATCTAGGGGAGAGAGGACAAGCAGTTAACTGTGACTGAGGAAGCTGGACAGACAATTGTGAATAAGTCAGCTCTGGATCATCTGCTGCAAAGCACAGATTTGCTCCTACCATACTAAGAAGTAAACCGGTCAGAGGCAACACTTTTACAGTACGAACACACCAAGAAGCAAATGATCAGTGATAACAGAAATCAGTGACAAAGAGCTTATTTTCCATAAATAAAACAGCAGGAGATGTTTAGGCTATATTTGTTTACCAGGATTTGTCTTCTCAAGTTGGTACCATCTGTAAAATGCCCTTTTCTTTTGTTCACTTAGGTCTGACCCCTGCTGCAACAGCCAATGGGAGATCCGGCTCTGACTGATACCTGTAAAAAGACAGAACAGAACAGAACAAACAAAACAAAAAACAACACAAAAAAAAAAAAAAGAGAGAGAAAGAGGAAGGGAAAACTTGTTCTTTTTAAAACATTTAAAAGTGATTTATATACCGATAAAGGATATTTTCTTACAACACCCAGGAATTTGCAATTACTCCACTGTAGGTTCCAAAAAGTAGGGTTCAAGCTTCCCTCCCCAACCCAAACTAGTTTAACTTCTCCCTCTTGCTATCTGCAACCTTGCAGAAGGTGCATCCCGGAACCAGCACAACCAATCTACAAGGAAAGAGGGTTCAAATTGGGAAGACAAATCTACCACTGACTTCATTGTCCCTGATTCTTAAATTTCTTCATCTGCAAAACAGGATCAAGTCCCTTATCCACTATTATACATCAATAATTATACTTAGGAGTTAATTACCATTCAATGCTTGAATAAGAATGGAGATAAACATAGAAAGTTTATGTGATATAGATCAAATCAGCACAGAAATGGAGCAAGCCAACTATCAGCAGCTGTAACAACAGCCAGACAACAACACAGAGAGGCAGCTGCCTGTCAGCAAAGCAGGATTCAAGCTCTAGATATTCAGACAGGGGACAAGAAGTTCCAGACTTTTTAGAGGAAGATTTCTAAGAAAACAGTAAATAAGAAAAAAACCCTGTAAGTCAATACAGTTATTTCCAAAGCATGACACTGAAAGCAGGACCAATGTAAAAATGGAAAAGAAACTATTAGGAGAGGAACCAAATACAGCAAGGGTTTAAAAAGTGCACTAGGAGGTGAACTGTAGGTTCAATTGAAAATATAAAAAAAACCCATACAGTTTGCTGAATAACTGAAGCAGTAGTTCAGGTAAGATGACTCTCTGTGGTTTCTACAAGGCTCTTAAGCTACCAGAAAGGGTTAACAACATCTAAACTCTCCCGAGTGCTGAAGTTTTAGGAGGTATTCCAAGTAACAAGATACTGCTGAACACCACCTGTGCCACCACCTGCCTGGTGATAATACTGAAGCAGGTAGAAGGTGGGTTTTCACACAGAAACTGAACTACCTCTCCCCTCTTGAGATGCATCAAGGTTTTATAAGACCTCATAATCATATTTCACTCATGAAAAACAACCCCCTGTAGTTTTATCGCATCTAATATGGGGGGTTTACTATGATTTTTTTTATTTTCATTGAACACTGAAGCTACTCAACTTTAGAATGATTAAACTTGACTCTCAGGTGGGTTACTCCAACCAGATTTTTAAAATCACAGGGTTTATGCTCTTAACTGTTCTTCCTTAACAGAGTTCCAGAGGCTATGAAGTTTTAATTATCCTGGGGAAAAGAGAGAGGTGTATTTTGTTTCAAGTACAGAAGCCTACTGCTATTTGGCAAAGCTCTGCCCATAAACCATACCTTAGTTTGGGTTTTGTTTCTCGAGCATATACTGATCTTAATACTAATTCCCAGAGACTGCCTTTGCCCCACAACTGAAAGAGTTTAGAAACAGCTGGGGCAGTCCAGAGTTGACTATCCCCAGGGCCTACACTGAGATATATAATTGAATTTCCAGTACTAGGGAAGTGGTATTATTCAACCAAACACAAGCCTTAGACTCTGCCAAGTTTACATTAAGTAACTGTGGAAGCATATGAGTTAATACCAGAAGAAGTTAATGTAAGTTGCTAAAACTCTCTGGCCCAAAACAAGGCTTCAGTCTAGCTGAAATCATACAATCTAGATGCCAGTAAAAAGACCAAGTTTTTTGCACCTCTTCACCTACTATTATGATTTACAAAAGCCACTTCTTTAACACATTTGTGTCTCACTGCTTTTGGCTTCATGGCTCCTATTAATCAATGGGTAACAGGACTATTAATTTACTTGTTTACTACAGACCACTTACACTTATTGCAGTGAATTAGTGTTTGTTGAGTGTCTGAATAACAATGTAAGATACAAATGCAAAGTGTTATTAGATAAAAATTATAAATAGAGATGAAGTATTTTCAACAAGAGTCCTATAGTGGAAAATCCAAATTCTGCTCAAGAGGCTGCCTGATACTGTCATAAAGTGGTACAGATGTTAGCCACTTCAGACAATGTGCTTGGGACAAAGCAAAGGAGCAGAAGCCAAAAGATTCAAGCTGTGTGTTGCCATGTCCACATCTGACTCATTGCGAGACTTCGCAGTTCATAAAGTTGCTTCTGCAAAATGGAGCTTTGTAAAGGACACTGAGATGTACAGATTTGATTAATGCACCATAAATTCTCAGTATGTTGTTATTTGACTGTGCTATCTCATGAATGGTACTGCAGTCCATAGCATATCTTTGCATCAGCAAAAAGCCCACAGCCTATCTTGCCCTTTGGCTAGCAGAATTCTACAGCAATGCTGCAAACCCAGGTAGTGTGTCACGCAGCTGATCTTGGTTTTGGTCATAGGAAATCAGTAGATGACCCCCCTATCATTTTTCTGGTTTTTATTATTTTCCCTCCTTGTTTCAGAGACCTGTAATGACAGCTGAGCTTCTTAAAGGTTTTCTCTACCTATGTAACTCTTCCTCTTTTTAAGATACAAAATATCTTTCATCTGTTCCTCAACTTGGTTTAGAGGCCTTAAAACTGTATATTCCAGGTCACATGATTCAAGGTCACATGCAATGTCGGTAGCTGAAAAACTGATACAGGATCTCCTAGATCCTAGTACAGCATCTTAACCACAAACCCATCCTTCGCTGTTCAATTAAAACAAACAAACCACCCCCCAAATTGTCATGTCAGAGTTTTCATATTTCAAGTGGATTTTACACAGTTGACTCATAGGGACAATGACTAGTACTGTCACCAGTATCATCCTGTCACATTGTCTATAATCATGCTACTTTAGGAAATTGCACTGGCAGGAAAAAAGAAATCATCCTGCTGCCAGAAGCAGATTAATGAAGTAAGTTCTCTGGAGTACTGAAAATCCAGCTGTCTTGAGGAAATTCACTCTCAAACTGAATCACAGACCTGAAGGAAAACTGCCATCCTCTGGCCTTAGCATCAGCAGGGAAAACGAACACATCATAATGAGCACAACTAGTTTTCTCACAGAAAATACTGATGAAAGAAGTGGTAATCACCAAGGATTCTAGCAATTCAAATGCTGATTTCTTGTGTCACACACCACTCCTTCCCACAGCAGGTTACACTTCCTAATTATAAACAAAATGGAGATGATAGTAGATGCATACTCTTCTGGTCAGCCCCACTCTCTCCTAAAACAAACTATTTGGAGAACAAGTTTCCCTTTCAAATACATAAAAGAAATGGCAAAATACATCATCAAGAGAAGGCAACTGATATCTGCAGTACAAATCTGCTCACAACCACAAAACTGCTATTTATCAAGTCTTTGGTAACTGGTTTTCACCTTCACAGGTAGACTTTTTCAGTGACTCTACTTTGCATTTCTTTAATGTTTCTTTCAGGATTGGTTTTTAGAAGCACCTGGCACACGTCTGATTTGGAGAAGAAAGTAACTGATGTGTTTTAGTTCCTCAGTTTGCAAGTGAAGTCCTAGATTCATATAATACACACCAGCAAAGGACATCTATCAATTTAGGAGATTAGCAAAGCCTGTTTACAGAAAACTTGCAAAGATTAAAATCTTAGAAAAACAAATCTTTTCCTGTGTTGTCATGAGTATATACTAAAAATGTTTTAAAAATGTAGCTTCTTGCCATTTCAGATGATCAGTAATTCAGTAATTTTCCAATTTCCCTTCACAGTGGAACTAGTTAAGTTTCATTTGTTTGTATTTGCATTTGCTCAGCATCCCTGTGTGTAACTTCCAAACCTTAAGGGATTTTATTTACAGCAGTGCTTCAAGGCTACCCTCCACTGCACTAGATGCTGTGTGTTTAGCATAACATAAAGCTAAGACCTGAAGATCTCCTATCCATTAAGACAGAGACAGCAGGACAGGGCTGAATTGTACAAGCAGAATAATCAAGAGCGTTAGCAGGACTGCACACTGAAAAGCTCTCTGTGTTATGTTTTTGTGTTCGGTTTGTTGTTTTTTTTAATGGATCTCTTTATTTTATTTGCTCCCTTCTTTATTTTTTTTCAAATGGTGGTTTTATGGTCCTAGCCTAAGAATCGGGAAATACGAAGCCAAATTCCTGCTCTGCCACAGACTGTTTCCACTGTGACCTCAAGAAAGCAAAGGGTTTTTATCCCCTTACTCCCTGCATATAAAAATGGAAAAGGTAGTATTTCCAAGACTTGCAGAAGCATCATCCATCAAATTATCTAGGCTGGCTGCAAAGGGCTCATCTATGCATACTCCTTCCTCTCTCCTCTACTGTAGTACATAACAGAAAGATGTTAGCTTCTGAAAACATTTCACCCACCCTCCATCTAGATTGGAAGCTCAGAGACAGCATCTCTTAAGTTTACATTTACCCCTTCATCCTTTGCCTTCTGACCATAACTTACTTGGTAATCAGATACAATTCTGGTAGCAATTCAAGCAAATTGCAGCACACAACTTCCAAATTATTTTTCATAAAAATTCAGCATCTCACCCACCACATGTAGGGCTAAATACCTACCCCCAAGTAAGCTGCAGCTATGTTAAAAGGAGCTTCAAATAACAAGATAGGAAATTCAGCAGG